CTAAGATGGCCGGTGTTATTCAAAGCGGTTAGATTTTCACGTAGGGGATTAGAAAATCCTTCCTATGCCTCATCCTTGATCGGTTACGTAAATATTAAGCAAACGTCGATTACGATGACAAAAACAAACGGATGGCCCCTGTGAAATTCAATGTAAACTTTAAGTGAATCACGAATCGAGATTTGGCGTAAAAAAGTAATTATCTGGAAAGCTAGCAGAAGGAAAATATTTATAATAGGATATGAAAGGGTAAGTAGAACAACGTTCTGATCGCACTTCTGATCCTTTCATAACAACACCGTTCTCCTTAGTCCTGTTAACCCAATCGCAATCCAAGGCGCGCGCGGGCAAGGCACTAAAACACAGTCATAAAAACACACAAACCAATTTAGCCGGTACAGTCTGTTGCCAGCAGCTAGGCCTGCACCCCCAGATTGGCCGATTTAATTTCGGCGGCCTCGCTCGTCAATCTCTGCGATACTTAATTTAAGAGATATGGCAATGTTCGCACTTGCAGATATCATGATAACTCGAAAGGTACGCTATACGAAATTTAATTAATAAATCCGTTATTGCAAACTCACTTATTGAAAATTGCGTTGAGTATAAATTAATTGGGTCCTACTATGCACGAGTCTTGATGCAACCTTTCATTTGAGAATTGCTATGCAAATAATCCCTTTATAGGGGTCGTATAACGCAAACCCCAATGAAAGCGATTCAAGTAAAAACTTTTACTTTTATTATAGTCAAAATTAAAAGAAATTTTCACTTTTCTATCTCGAGACAGACAATTCCCCCCCAATTTATTAACAATTAACTTTGCGATTTAACATTTAGCGTATCGCTAATTTCGGTTTGGAGAAGTGCTTTTGAAAAATTCAATGTACGGAATTGACATTTTCTCTTCTTCCCTTTCTCCCTATTTAATTATTTCCTTTGTTACTCATGAGTTTATGGCGAACGTCGTCGTACACAGTGTACAGTTTTACGATGTCAACTTTTACGTATTTGGACAGCGCACATTTATAAATTGTTGCACCTAAATTAAAACAAATTCTATGCACTATCGAATAACTACCGTTTTATATAATTTAAATTTTACTTCGTACAATGTCCGTGAAGTTAGCATGACAAGTATGAGCTAAATATTTTATTAAGGATCCTCAGATCCTTTATAGTTTTGTATTGTCGTCCGTCCGTCCGTCCGTCCGTCCGTGTGCGCTCTAACTCTTTTTAAAAGTGGCCGATTGAGTTGAAATTTGGTGTACGGGTTCTTTGGACATTAAGGACGGACGCTATTGATTTTCAGGAACTGGTTCAATAGGAACAAAAGTTATAGGACTTCGAGTGAATCGGGAACAGGAAAAACTACGGGCTCAATATAATAGAAATCAACATATTTCATTCCCTAGGTCATGTATCGGGTTGGGACTTCCGCTAGATTATTCCCTATGACTCTTAGATGTGTAATACTTTAATATAACTCTTCTCTGTGGTATAGGTCGAAAGTTTTAGAGCAAAATGTAGCAAAAATTACACTTTATACATGAATTTAGAGTTTTAAAAGGTTTCAAACGCATTATCTTGATGCAGCAAGAGTACATCACGTGCACATTTGATAACCGCATGTGTGTGATTCAAAAATGTTAAATTATTGCCATATGGGTTTTGATCAAAATAATCAAAATCGTTATTTATGCACCAAGATCGTCGAGAAAAAGACTAGGGGCATTATCTCAATGCTCAAGACATAAATTTGATGCATTTCTGGCGACCACATGGATTTTGATCAAAACATGTCAAAATCGTTATTTATGCACCAAGATCGTTGGGAAAAAGACTAAGAGCATCATCTCAATGACCAAAACATGAATTTGATCTATTTTTTGGCGACCACATGAATTTTGATCAAAACATGTCAAAATCGTTATTTATGCACCAAGAACGTTGGGAAAAAGACCAAGAGCATTATCTCAATGATCAAAACATGAATTTGATCTATTTTTGGCGACCACATGGATTTTGATCAAAACAAGATTAAGAGCATTATCTCAATGGCCAAGACATGAATTTGATGTATTTTGTAACATTAAAATAAATTATCGTTAAAAGTTATTGTAATACTGAGGATCCTTCGATATTTCGTTGTATCGGTTTATTATTCTGAGCTTTGGTTTGTTGACCATTTTAACGCTATCCATTTTTGATCATTAATGGTTCGCTCATCAATAAATTTGCAAGAAATGCATTGCTAAGTTCTCGTCTACTTGACAAAGAAACGCTCAAAAAACTAAAATCGTTTCGTTGTGGGTTTTTCAACGGCCAATTTCCACTTTTTGAGCTCTTTTGGGGTAGAAAACGTTATATTGCCCATACTAATTTGTATAGAATGATACGATTTTCACCCGCATATGCGGGGCTAAAGTGGATTGAAAAGGGAAAAATGAAATGATGTCGCGCAAATTCGGGCTAATCACACGCCAATTCGAGGAAAAAAATGGAAAACCATAAGCCAATCACAAATTATTCTAAGAAAAGTCAAACGTCAACGTAAACGATTATAAAGGACACATCCACATTTCTAAAAATTTCATTATGTACGACTGCTTGATAATGCGGTGATTATACAGTGGCAATTAGTGGCCATAATTTGCAATATTATGGCCTAGTCCAATATGATAAAGCAAAACGGCCGCCTGTCAATGTGACAGTCTTACTTAGGTGTCAATCCAAGGTAAATTCAAGTATTTTAGAAATACTTGACAAATGCTTGACATCTGTTGTCAATGATATATAGATTTTATCGTTTATTGAATTCCATGAAATTTTCATTTTTAAGGGTTGTTGCAGTCGTACATAAAGCTTTGTTATCGCGTCCATAAATAGGATTTATGGGGACTCGCCTTATTTATTTGTGCCTCGCTCGCAAGCTCGCTCGGCTATATAAACGGCTCGTCCATAAAGACCCAGTTTATGTACTTGATATATAAATAGCTATTGTATTCATTGTTACGATGATAATTTCCTAATTAGGACACGAATTGCACCCAACGGTAAATTTAATTATTTTGTATTGCTGTGCGAAACGTTACACTTTTTTCGCTTCCTCCAAAAAAAGACAATAACTATCTTTACAAACTTTTAGCTTCTATGAGAAATTACGATTCCCGGCCAAAACGGTTTAACTTTTTTTAAACCGGATCTTAAGACAGTCCTATCGGGCCCAAATTGGTCCCTTTGAATGCCAAAACTCGAAACGGAAAAATTTACCCCCACTTTTGTCTTACATGGTTAATGGATTCGCAACGATGATGACCTTATCTAATATTATTCATTTGTTATTGAAAAAATGCCCCCCGAATCAAATCAAATTTGAAACCATAGCTCTTCTCCCACACCTTCTTTCAATACGCTAATTCAGCAAATTCCGTGCTTTCCATTTATCTCATTCTTAATCAGGAATGAAACGTATATCTCCATTAAAACGGATGTAATTTGATACTAATAAAAAACCAAGACTGTCAGGAGCCGCAACGCAAGGCGATTAAAGAACAAAAACGAAAAGCTCTTACAAAATTAGTATCACGTTGACCGCAATCATCCAGCCCGTTCCTTTTAAGGACCAATATTTGTTTGGGAAAACATTTCAAAATCTTCATATTTTTGAAAAGTTTTACTTTCCTTATTTATGCAAGAAAATTAAAAAAATTCAAATCCAAATTAAAAGCTACCGTCAAAAAAATTATAACGCGCATAAATAATTCCATTGGTCGGGCGTTTGGGTAACATCATTCAGAGGAAACAGTGAAAATTTCGAGATCATAATCCGTTTTCGTCAGACACGTACACGTGGAAAATGTCGCAATTTTTGCGGTACCAAAAGTTATACTCAACCCTTGGAGGGCTACCGGGTCTGTTTATCAATTATGAGTGGCCCAGGCCGTTTCATCCAACAGATGTTGGTGACATGGACCAAAATGATATGCCAAATAAACAAATCAAAACAGTCACAGGCAAATTTTAATTACGGATTTGAGATGCTGATAATTTATATATATATATATATATATATATATATATATATATAATGATATTTAAATTATCAAAATGACAGATTTACGCAACAGGTTGCTAACCTTATGCATTTTATGTGTAACCCATTTAGGTATACTTAAAAGCGAGCTCCTGATGGGTCACCGAACATTTAGTTAATCAGTTCTTCCTTCATGATAAACAAAATACTGAAAACAGAATTGGAAAGACGGACGAACGGACGGACAGAAAGTCCAAAATCACGAACTCGCTAGAAACTCGCTAATAATAAGGAATTCGAATTGTGCAAACTTTAGCGGTTTAAATTAATGTTTTGCAGCGACATCTAATGCACAAATCCAAAAGCGCCATCAAATGGATAAGGTTAGCAATCTGTTGTTTGCGTATATCTGTTCCTCAGCCCAAATTCATCACAGGTTTTACTGAAGATGTATGGACAACCAACCAATGAAATTAATTACGTCATAATCTATCGCAGATCACATCGATTCGGGGGCTGTATGGACCAAAATCTATTATATAATCTCAAAAATCAAAATAATCTTCTAATTAAGCCCCAAATGGCAACAACTCTCATAATCCAGCATCAAATCTCTGGGAGATCAATTTAATAAACCCTGATTGACCTCGTCAATTAAATTAATTCCACGAATAAAATCCAAAGTTGCGGAAAAAGATCCCACTTCTACTAGCACTTTTTCTAAAGCAAAAGGTTTCAACAAAATCTTCAAATTTGTATGAAGAATTGCCTCTTGCACTTTTTTTATACAACAAAATGTATCGATTTGCGTGGAATTTATATCATTTCTGATTTCACCCTCATCTGCAGTTAAAGGCAGTTGGAGCAATGACTTCTACAAAATAGTTGTCGCCTAATAGGCTGAGAAACAAATAATAAAATGGTAAATTAGAATTTCGTTAGAGTACAGTCTCAAACAGTCCAAAACGGTACTAAGCTCGCCAGGAAAGAATGTAGGTTACAGAACCCTTGATTCAAGTCTACAATCGTATATGATTTAATATGAAAAACATACGATTGTAGACCGGCATCAGGTGTTCCGTGACAGATATTCTCTCCTGGCGAGCCAACTTGAGTATATTGCTGATTTACAGTACAATCTCAACATAAAATTTGGCATTTCTCTCTAGACTGGATCAGGATTCACACATCTCCACTGCTATGGTTCGGTAAGTTTATGACGGGAATGAACTTCGCATTACTTGCCGCACCAAAGGCCCCGATATCTTTGGAATCATCTGAACTAGAAGAACTTCTCCTGTGCAGTGTCGAGTTGCCGGCCTTGTGAAGTTTCGGATTAAGTTTCGGTTTCTCTTGGTGGTATCTGGAATTAGGTACACTGAAAATGCGACCGGACCAACTATTACCCGTACGCTCGAATAATTTGTTCTACAAATGCGTTTTCTTCGTCGTTTAGTACTGGGAAACTATGCATTGGAGAGCACATTTCGCTGCAACAATACGGATAAATTATACTTTCAAGCATGCCCTTTAGCTACCGTAGTCTTTTTTCCATCTTCACAACAATTCGTTTTAAACTTTCACTTTCCTTTTGTACACTTTCGAAGGTCTTGCGATCTACCATATTTTGTTTTGCAATATCTAGGTAGTAACTCTTTTTCGAAACTGTATCTTTTAAATTTGCAATAGTATTATGTAACTGCCGAATCTCAGTTTCATATTTGCTCTTCTCGGCGTTAGATGCAGATACTCTGTAGTTATCGACAAGGCCCTTCAACTTGCCCAGTGTCTCCTTCATAACCTGCAGCTCCGACCTAATATGCAAACCGTCAAACTTGAGCGAAAGGAGAGTTTTTGTTACCGTTTTACTACCACAATTACATCCTTTTCATAATTGATAGCGTTCTGTAGTTCTAATCCGCTGATGGTTTGACACGATTTTTCCACAGATACTGTGTTGTCTTTGGTGTTACTCAGCATACTTTTGGCACTCAAATATTTCTCCTTCAACTGATTGACGACGTCGCAATTGGACTTGATGTACTGCAACTTCTGCTGGTACTTCTGCACTTTTTCTTGCTCATGTAACAAACTACTACTTCAGTAGAGAAAGATCGGCTCGTATCGCCACTTACTGTAAACTTTGGCGTTCTCTCTCTCGCAATAAACTCTCATACTTCTGTTCAACATCCTGCCACCTTTGCTCCAAGTTTTTGTTCTTCTGGCACAAATTTTCATATGACTCGAGCGGATTGTAGGACTCATCTCCTAAACTAGCAGCGGAAATGGGATCGCTAAAGTTGTCGATCCAGTCTGCATTGCTGGATGCATCTTCAAACCATTCCGTTGTTTCTGTATCTCTTTGCGGAATGAAGTCTGAGTCTGTAAGGGAGTAACTCTGTAAATTTTCCATATTCTCAGTTTTTGGTTTTAACTGTCAAACTCAAAATTTGTATAATGTCAAATGAAGTGTCAGCAGAGCCCGCAAATATCTGAAATTTGAGCCGCCTTTTCGCTTTCCTATATCTTCGCGTTTGGATATATTTGTGCTGTGGTCAGTTTTTGGCCAAATTTATGACGAATATTGGAAATCTAACTCTAAACCGTGGCCACTTTTCCAAAGCCGTAAAGCGCTTTTCCGATCGTTTCGGCCCCTTGTAATACTTTCTAGGTTTTTCCAATGCTCTGTGGATGAGTTGCGTGATGATTTTTATTAACGCGCACAATGGAACTATCGTGTATGTGAACAATAAAAAATATGATAATTTTTCACACACAAAAATACACACCTTATGGCCAACAAAGTTGAGCTCACTAAAATAGTTATTTATGCATCAAGGGCATTAAGGCGATATCTATGCCGAAGGCGACAGAGCCCGAGGGCCTCTGGCCCGAGGGATTGTAAGTCGCCCGAGGGTTAAATATTGAGTAATGCCTGAGGTGCATACAACATTTTATTTTTCATCATTCCAAAGAATGCATTTCCAATATACAAATGTCATGATTATTGTTTGCCCAACATTAAAGTGCTCCATACGAATCAAGTTGCATTTTTTTATGACATAATATAACTCCGTCAATCAATTTGACAGGCCATTTGAGGGCATAATGAGATGACAATCCATTATGCCCTCTCATTATGCCCTTGGGCGTAATAGACTGCTTCATATATCACATATGACAGATATAATTGACATATAATAGGCAAATGAAAAATAAAGAATATTATTAATGAAACTGAAACGCAAATTCCAAAAAAATGAAAATTCATTCTCGGTAAGTCCACGCATAGTTATTACCTTAAAAATAGCGTTTTCTAAAAATCGATGGTTTGCTATGGTACAAAACGATACGGTCCTTCTGGAAAAGATGGCGTTCCAAAGCTGAACAATACAGAAATGAAACACTGGATCACCCGACGAAATGCTGTTACAATTTCCTTGAATATTTCTTGTACGATTACCTTTTATTGTATTTATTAATTAATGTATTTATCGGACAATGAACTTTCTATTTATACAGACTGCATTCAAACTAACTCTCGAGCTATTATTAGAGCACTTAAAAAGGTCAAACGATTTCAAAGCTAAACCCCTCCTATGATTTGATTCGAATGGCGTTTTTTTTCCAATAACAAATTAATAATTAAATAGGGCACGATGGATTCGCGTTTTAGCATTGAAAGCGACCAGTTTGGTCCCGATAAGAAAAATAATTCGCGTGTTCGTGTTGGTCGTTGGGGTAAACACAGATTATTAACCTTATATTAGCAGCGTCTCAAAGATCCTTTAAAACAAAAATAAAACCGTTTTAACCGGTAATCGTAATTTCTAATAGTGCGATCGAATTAACGAATTTAATTCGAAGGTCGTATTTTGCAAACGCGGCGCATAATAAACATTCTTTCTATTACAACGCGCTATCAAGAGGACAATTCTTTAGTTTCGAACAAAAAGTGAACTTATTAACTTGTCAGTGAAATTTTGACTGTATTCACTCAATTTTGTGTTAATTAAAAATTTGCAATGGTATGTTATTTTTAAAATTTTCCCCGGAGTGTACAATTATGTTAAGGCAGCTGACTTTCCCAATCTTCAATCCAGTCGACACCGGACAGGTATAAGCAGTTTTCCATTGTGCCGCAAAAACTAGTTCGTTTCAAAACCCACTCGTGGTTGTTCCCGCGTAACAAATCTGTAAATGGTGAGTAGAGGCAAATATAGACCATAACAGCTTTCAATTAGCGAAAGCCCTCTAGGTGACCCAAGCGCCTAGATTTCGATGGAACAGACAGACGACGGAAAATCGAGCACATAAGCGTTACCTCAGATTCGTTGTGTTACGCTAAACAATAAAACAAAGGGGGGAGAGCGCTAGTTCTTAAAGCAAAGGAGTTGGAAAAGGAGACCCTTATTAGGATTTAACATTTGGTTTGGTTCTCTATGGAATGGCAGGAATTTGGGATGTTGGCAAGGCACAATTTTTGGTTAAGATTATTGTTTTAAGGTTTACTATAAGGGGTATATATTTCAGCTTAAGATAATGTTTCGTTCAAAGGTTCAAAAATCGTTATGAACGATTTTATAACGTGAGCTTTAGGTTGGCGCTGCTTTAACTCAAACCCGCCCCATAAACGGCCAACTAGGTCAGGGTTGAAAATAAAATAAATGCTTAAAATCTTCCACAGCGTCTGTACTTTGTCACAATTTACTAAAAGGGTTATGCTCCACTCAATTTCTATTTTATTTCTCTCCATATGACACTAAGAAGATACGGTAGTAATAACAGTGAAATTAAATTACCAACAGGAACACGTTATTCCATCAATCTCCAAAATAAATTTTTTTCCAAAATTGGATAGCGTACAAATACAAAATACTCCCCAAATTCTCAAAATTATTGAATTAATTGACTATATCTACGAGTATAATAACAAAAACAAAACGAAGTACTATCGATAATTGCTTCGATAATGTAATCGTATCAATTTACCTTGAATAAACTCGGTCACTGTAGAGAGCTCTCCTGTAGCGAGTCCACCACCAAGAGTCGAAACTTGTCCTGGACGACTTGCTAACTCATCGAAAGGAAACCCATTGTCCAAATTAAAGATGGTGATGACAGAATTTACATCGTGGTGCCACATAAACAAACTAGCTATTAACATTGACAAGACGGTAATAATGAATATGTCCCGTAGAACACTCGAAATCAGCAACATCCCCATTCTGAACTCAATCGCCCCAAGCCAGTCTACCTCTACCTACCTGGGATGCAAACTGGATGATAATCTATCCTGGCATCCGCACGTAGAACACATACGCGCAAAATTGAACCAGGCATACTACCTAATAAGAAGAATAAAACATCAATTTGACTTAAACCACATAATTGAGGTGTATTACGCTGTAGTGTACTCGCACTTAAGCTTTCATATAATGTGTTGGGGTGCTAGCACGGGATTCAATAAACTCTTTGTGTTACAAAAGCGCATAATAAGACTGATGTTTAACTTAAATTACGCACAAACTTGTACATACACTTTTAAAAAATTTAATATATTGACTCTACCATGTATATATATATATACTAAAATTGGTGTACCTACTACATGCACACACATGTACATAACTTTAATAGGGTAGGAAGCAGACACTCATATAACACAAGAACAAGAGACAAATTCATAATTCAAAAACACAATCATTCTTTCTACAAAAAATCGCCCTTTTACAACGCCACAAAACTCTACAATATTCTACCCGAATCTATCACCAACTGCGACATAAAAGAATTCAAGGTAAAAATTAAGGATATACTGCTCCAACATGCGTTTTACTCGGTACATGATTTTATTAATCTCTTTGTAAATAAACATTAAGCTGCTGCAACGCCACCTGGTTTTAAACATTTCGTTATTATGTGTATGTATTTATTTATTTATTGACGTATCGATAATTGTTATTCAACAATTCAACGATTAAATGATTGATTGATTGATTGAACCCCGAATTTCCTCGGAACGGCTTCAGTATAGAAGTAAATTCCAGGGGTACGGACTGAAGTACCTGCGGTTAATCTAAATTAATACTATGATTCGATGATTCGATACCGATTGACTCTCGAGATATCTCCGGTCAAAAGAAAAATTAGCTTGAGCACAACTCCTGAAGTTTTTGGTCTTACAGTCAATTCGTGCAACTCTCGGCTAGCTCACGCCACTGTGTAAAATTTACCGTGGCTAGAACTACCCAGGACTCACCACGAGGAGGTGGTTGCAAGTCGAGTCCCGCGCCATGCCCGCCCATCCGCCCAACCTATCGGAGCACGGTCTCTAACGAAGCGATTTAAATTTTGTCCATATCATCTTATGCCGAAAAATCAGTGTTAGAGTTAAATTGTTTTGGAGTTGTGCTCAACCTAAGAAGTTCAGCTGGACTTTGGGACGTTAAACCTAAATTGACGCATCAGCAGGCATTTTTAAATTTTTTACAAAATATTGAAGTTCAAGGCAGTTGCGTAAAATGAAGGTTTAACATTACAAAGGTAATTAAAAGTAGATACAAGTACTTACATCACGAAGCTTTCTTGAAAAAAGTTCGAGGTCCTAGTGAGAAATAAAAGAATAACAAGAGAAAGTTCAGTTCATACGAAAGTAGGTATAGAATGTAACAAGCGTTTAAAGTAAAATATTTAAACAGCTCACAGAAGAATACTTTTAAGAGACAGTGTTTAGAATTATATACAGTTTTAAAGAGTACTATAGAGATTCGTTTGTAAAACATCAGAGAATAATTAATCATCTTATAAAGAATAATCTTTCATAGAATATCTTTCAGAATATAAATCATCTTATAGAGAATACAAAGTGTTTCAATTCGATTAGTTATAGAATATCTTTCAGAGTATAAATAAGCATCTTATAGAGAGAATAGATAGACTTTTTTCAATTAAGTAACTTCTAGAATATCTTTCAGAGTAAATTGTCTTATTATCACATTTTGTGTCTGCTTTCTTATTTTGCTGAAACTGCTTTCTGTCGCGCTACCTGTTGAAGATCGTGGTAAAGAGTCTAGCTGCAGATGGTTGTGCCTTTCGGCCTCTCCTACAGAGTTGTTTCAGTTGATAGTTCTCAATTTTGGATTTCAATAGAACAGTAACTAGACATTTCTACCGTTTTGGTACGAAATTAAAGTGTATTTGTATTACCTGTTATGTACCTTAAAGGAATAGAAAAGGAGAAAAATAGAGTAGGTGATGAATATAGCAAGACGAGGGAAAGGTATATGAGGAGTCGGTGTTTATGGATCTTTTTACATAGTGCGTGGTATTAGTCTTGAACCTGTGGATGAGTCGAAGGGAAGGACGTCGCTTTCCGAAAATGAGACGGTTGGGACCGAGTATGATTAGTGTCAATTTGTAGCTAGCAAAGTTAACTAGAAAGAGATGCAGATAACAATGCATTGTTAT